TGATATCACTATCAACATGGATTTAAAATCAATCCAAATGGGTTGATATTAATGAGGGTCATCTGTATTAACTATATTTACATTTAAATAATACAGTATTAAAATAATAAAAAACCCTGTTTGTTAGTATATTTATTGTTTATTATAAAACTAAATTCATTATAGATCAATCACAAATATAGATTCCCTTAGATGATGAAAAAAACCCTATATACATAATGACCCAAGCAAGTCCAAAATTGCTTATAAATAGTAACTTATGATAATATATGCGAAAGTGTTTTACAAGTATCTAACTTCGTCAACGCCTAGACTTCTCCTTACTTGTACAATAGCGACCAATTCTTTAATAGCTTCCTCTAGAATAACAACATTGTTGAGGAGCGTACTTAAAGTGATCTCTTTAGGTTTTGTTTCCTTCTGCCTGGTCTTAGTTGATTTTTTAGATGAACTATCTTCATCATCTTCATCAAGTGGGTCAACTTGATCGTCTTCCTCATCTTCATTGACAAAGTGTGCTGGGAATAGAGGATGGATTTTGATGGCTTCTGTCTTTTGGAAGTGCGTTGAAAATGGAGTGGTAATGTTTGAAGATGTAATAGTCGAAGACCTGAAAGTTAAGGAACTGATCTGCGAATTTAAATTGTTGTTTGATTCAGCTCTTTTTGGTGTTTTATGTCCTGTCATTTTTCTATTTTTTGCATTAGTATTAGTCGAGATGCCAGAGCCTGAATGATTAGAAGTACTGCTTCTTCTAGTAGGTGTGCGTGTGGGATAAGGCTGCTTAAAGAAATTTTCATCAATTTCATCATCAGCATCTAACAGGCCACTCCTCCTTTCTTTAAGATATTGATCAAACCCTTCAATTTCGCTGCGGTAGTAATCGACTTGTTGAGTCAATGTTTTAAAGATAGTGAAAAATTGAGGATAACTAGTCCATCTCGGAGTAGCCCCGATAGCCTTTGTAGCAGATGGACATCTGTCTGCGTCAAAATCAATTGAACGATCATCATCTTCATCAAATTCGTTAATAGGTTTGTCATCTCCTTCAGCAACAGCGTTATTTTCATTATTAGATATTCCGAGAGGTATTTCTAGATTTTTTGCACCAGGTTGTAAACTTTCGAAGTCTCTTATGTGAGAATCTCGTCGGATATCTCGCCGACTATCTAATCTATCAGTACCGCTAAATACAAGCCAACCTTCTAGCGATCTATAAGGACAAACAGCCAGAGCGGAAAGAACACCGGTTAGAACTAAGTTTAACTCTGGTGAATGAGCAAAGAAATTTGTTAAAGTCCCAAGGAGAATTTGTAAGAGCGAATCACCCGGATTTAATCGATCAGTCGGGTTTAGACGATGCTTCGGAACTGCCGACATGCCTTTGGATGCCCCCTTTTTGCCATTTTTGCCTTGGCTATAAGTTAAGAATCGTTGTCTACCAGATTTCTTTGAATTTGGTCTAGTGGGACCATCTTCAGTCCATTCTACGTCTAGACCATTGATATAACACGGATCCGCCTCTATAATCATTTCTGCATCACGGACATAGGAATCATATCCATTCGTAAAAATTTCCATGTTTTGAGGAGTTGGATCAATGGCAGCTATTAAGGAAAAGAAATGGTCAAGTTCTTTCAAATGATGACTAATTGTTGTTAATTTTGGTTGGGCAAAGCTTGATCCATGCGTCTCACTACAGCATGAATCCTCGTACAAATAATTTGGTCTAGGAAAGCATGTAGCATTTTCGTCCAATTCTATGTTCAATAATTTCAAAGAATATCGACAATGCTTAGAAATAACAGTATAAAGAAGTTTTAAAGTCGCAATGACGGTTTGTTGAGATGAGGATCGCAAACGTGAAAATATTAAATCCTTGAGAGTAAACCGACCGATTGCTGTGAAATAGGGAGGAGACTTGATTGTATTAGAATCAATACCCTCGAACAGATTTATTGTACTTTGACGTTTTGCAATTTTATTGGCAATCGGTTGTTTCCAAAAGTCTTCATCATCACCGTCAGAATCCATTAAAAAACCTACCACCACGTCAACCAATTCTTCTTGCTTCAATGTCTGCATGATAATGTCAATATAAGAAATAACCGCAACGGCGGAACCATCCGTATCAGAACATTCCAAAATCGACGGATATAAAATATTTTCAAGAAAAATATTTTTAACATTTTGAAGTAAGGCCAAAGATATATCCACATTTGGACATATATTTAATACGTCCTGACAAAATTCCAGTAACTTCAAAAATGAATCAAGTTGATGTTTGAATACGCGCGAAGAAGAAACTTCAATTCCATTTGAAGCCAGTCTCTCTAACTCAGCACTTGTATTATCACCACCGAATCCTAACAAAGTGGCATTAGTCAACCCACCACTCGAACTTTTTACCATCAATTTACGTGGTAATTGTGAATATAACGCGCCCAATCCGGCAGCCATGATCGTTGCAAAGTCACTCTCAAGAATAAATTCACCTAATTGCTCATCTTTGAGCTCAATAATAAAAAGCAAGCCATATCTAGCATATTCACCGGTTTTGTCTTCTCTATGAAGAAAATGAAGCAGATATGAAAATAGTAAAAACTTGTATTCTCGCTTTTCTGGTTCTTTAGTGAACTCTGTTGTTTTTGCAGAGGTTGAATTCATTGTACTATTTGCAGATGCGGAACCATCGTCTAAATTCCCATCTTGACTACTATTTGATGAGAAGCTTGCGGTATTTTCTGATTCTTTTTTTGGATAAGCTTTTTGCGGTGTCGTAAGCCAATGAGTATCATGAAAGAAAATATTCAAAAGTTCGGGAAACTCATGAATTTTGGAACATATTTTATACATTAAATCAGCCAGATCTTCATCATATTTTTCATATTTTTC